GGGAGGGAGGGGGGTATGTGCAGCTCCTGGGACACCTGGTGGAGGTGCTGGGTGATCTTACACAGGAGGTCGCTGTACATCTGCTCGGAGTGCTGCTGACACACACACTTGTAGACACAGCTGCAGAGAGAAGAACGATGTCAGATATGAGGATGTGACAAGACAGTCAGCCCCGGCGGGCCGGCACCATACGTATTCGGGGGACACACCTGTAGATCTGCTCGTAGGATATGGGGATATAGTCTCCGGCGGTCTGGGTCAGGAGTTGCTCGATGGCGCTCTCCAGTTTAGGCCAATACAGACGCTTATAGTCCTCCACCGTGATCACATTCATCACTGGAGGAGAGAAGAGAACCAATCAGCTGTGACTCCACCCACTCTCCCCAGACTGACTCCTCCCCTTACCTTCCAACCACCCCCAATGACTCCTCCCCCAGCTTCTCATCACTATCTCCTCCCCATACCACCCCTGATGACTCCTCCCATATCACCCCCGCTTACTCCTCCCCCAGCCTCTCATCACTGTCTCCTCCTACATACCACCCCCAATGACTCCTCCCCCCATATCACCTCCGATGACTCCTCCCCCCGTATCACTCCTCCCCCATATCAACCCAATGACTCCTCCCCCCTATCACCCCAAGCTTCCCATCACTAATATCTCCTCCCCATACCACTCGTGATGACTCCTCCCCCTATCAATCCCAATGACTCCTCCCCCAGCTTCCCATCACTAATGTCTCCTCCCCATACCACTCCCAATGACTCCTCCCCCTGCTTTCTATCCCCACCAACCTTCACACCATTGCTGACCACTCAGTATTGAGGGGGAGGAGTAAATACTGTAGGGGCGGGGCCAGGCACACAGAATCTGAGAGGGGGTATATGGTGCAGGAGGCGTGCCCAGGTGCACTTACAGACCATGTGTTGGTCCAGGGGCAGATAGAAGGGGTGGGGTATGTAGAGGAATATGTGGGTGGGTGGTAAAATGGGTGGGATATACATTTTGGGGGGTATGTGGGGAAGGGGTGTGTATTGAGGGTATGCAGGTGGGGTATGTGTTTGGGGCAGATAGAGAGGTA